GAAAGGCTGCGAGAGCTGGGCCTGTTGAGCCTGGAGAAGAAAAGACTGAGAGGCGATCTCATCAATGTGTACAAGTATCTGAAGGGAGGGTGTCGAGAGGATGAGGCCAGCCTCTTTTCTGTGGTGCCCAGAGACAGGACAAGAGGCAACGGGCACAAACTGAAACACAGGAGGTTCTGTCTGAATGCGAGGGAAAAAACTTCTTTCCTGTGAGGGCGACTGAGCACTGGGAGAGGTTGCCCAGAGAGGTAGTGGAGTCTCCTTCTCTGCAGATATTCAAAAGCTGTCTGGACACAATCCTGGGCCATGTGCTCTAGGTGACCCTGCTTGGGCAGGGAGGTTGGACTAGATGATCTCCAGAGGTCCCTTCCAACCTCATCCTCAACCATTCTGTGATTCTGTGATCTTTTCATCTCAAAGAAGCAGCCAAGGGCTAACAGGGCTAATATCTTTATTCCAAAATACTATGAGTCTACTACTTATGCCATATTTTGGCTTGGGCCACCTATTCTCTTTTGCTAAATGTAGATATTTCCTGTAATTCACTAACGTATTAAGAAAATACTAAGTCTGCTTAGGAGGTCTAGAATGACACCGCCACCTTTTATACTATACCATTTCAAAATAAGAAACAAAACTGTGGTGTAAAAGAAGCAGGTGGTAAACAGAGAACGGCATGCTTACCCAATTACCCAAGTGGCCTCTTTTCAGTAACATTCTACTAATGATTTGAGAATTTCATATAAAACTCTATTATCAAGAAGCAGCACAGAACACAATCTCAAAAAAACAAAAATAAAGGAAAAAATTTTAAAATAAATTAACAACAAAAAAGATAAAGCACATCTTCATTCACTCAAGAAAGACAGAAATAATAGTCATGTTATGCCACATATGATTATTTAGGAAGAACCCCAACCTTCTAACAGCAAAACATGCATTACTGCATAAGAGGCATATGTGCACGTGCACAAAAGATAGGTAAGTAATATTTGGATTCAAACATCTGATTATGCAAATACACTTTAAAATGCACACATACAACTAGTTAGGTTACATATTAAGACACAGAGAATCAGATCCTGCTATTATTTGTATGGTGTAGCAAGACTTTGAGGCTAACTTGAAAAGACATATCTCGATCCCATCTTTCATACTAGATGAAAATTAAATTAAATTATTCCCCGTACTAACGCTAACTTTGCAAAAAGAAGATAATTAAATATTGTGACTCTAATTCCCTCTTTCTTTATATCTGAGTACAAATTGAAGTTATAAAAGACATTTTAAAAATATATTGAAAGTAAAAAGAAAATAAACTCCTTTGACTTCATCAAATAAAACGAACTCCAGCATGTCTCCATTAAGAGAAAATCTCAAAAGATGATTTCCCAGTATTTTCATTATTTCAAGATAGAATCTAAAAACAGAATTAATACATTTCTAACAAGAAAAATCAAAAGTCTGGATTGGATTCATTTGAATCCAGCAACAGTGCAATATACTTGTACAGTTTAAAAAAAAAAAAAAAGTGATATAGTCCTTCTCTGCCAATATGAATATTTGTTTCACGTTTAGACTAGAGTATGACACCTTACCCAACACCATCACATGAATTCTTTTTTTTTTTTTTTTTTAAACACATCAAATGAGAGTAGCAGGATACTTTCACATCTATACTGAATTGGAGGATTTCTAATTCTGCACATAGCTCCCAAAATGACAAAAAAAGTCATTCGAAACTCTGCAGCATTCCCACCACAACATTTGATACGTAATCTTAGAAAAGTCTGAGGGAGGAAAAATAATCATCCTCTAGACTTGATGATTTTCTGTATTCTTTAGCAGCCAGCATTTAATAAAAAGTAAATCTAAAATAATTTGAGTGTGTTCTAATCAGATTGATTTTTCAGATACAAACTTCGCAAACTATGCAAAACTTTCCAGAACTTTGAAGCTACTAGAAACTAGATGAACTCAACCCATCCAGGATTGCTTCACTTACAGTGTAGAAGTCTGTGTTTCAAATGATACCTCTGAATAATAGCTCCTGTTCTCAGAAAAATCAGTATTTCTCACTCAAATTAGACAACTCTTTACTGGAAAATTTCAAGTATCTCTATACACACTTTATAGTGAATCTATTCTCTTATATTTTTCTAATAGGTGAAGCTTTAATATGGAAAAATTTCATGTAAGAAGAAGAAAGAGGGTCTTGAAATAGAACTAAGATGTACTGAGTATCTGTTATACCAAAATATAATGCACATCTTGCCCTTCTGAACAGCACTTCAAAGACAGTGCTCCTGCAAAAGCATGAAAAGCTGCAGAATAAATTGTCAAGAGAGAATAACTGAAGATTGGGAAGAAAGTGGAAAACTTACCACAAATTTTCTATAGACATATCACTAAAATTAATCAATTTTTTTTCCCTTGATGAGGAAAACTGATTTCCTGTAACCACAACTGCCTCTTTCTCTAGAGACTGCGAACACTTCTTCCCTGACGGCCTGATCACGCATCTTTCCTCACTCTGACACTACCTAATGACAGAAGGACAATGTTTATCTAGAACTCCCCAGCTTTTTGTCTTGAAATATCTGCTCACATATTTCAACACTAGGTACATATGCAAGATTAAAAACAGAAATACTAAATGTGTATTCCCCTGCACTAACATCCACAGTTAAGAACAAATGAGAAATTTGGATAAATTAACATAGACTTTTAGTGCATTTTGGCCTACACTTCATATATATACATCTCCACTGAAATGAATGAACATTTATTTTAGCTCCTTCCTATTCATAATATTTCACAGCACACTTACAAGCTAAAAGTAGACTCAAAATCTCTGCGTGATGAAATGACTACAGCACAGTGTTTGTTATTGTAAATATCTTTATTTGGTTATAATAAGATCCAATTAGAACTGACCTTTGTTGTTTTGTTGGTCTGCTACACTATTTTTAAGAGAGGGAAAAAAGTATATAACCCTGCCTCCCACCTCAAATTTTCTTAATATTTTTCCTGTTTGTGATGAAATACACTCAGCGTTACTTAACAAGATGGTAGTTCAGCGAATAATGAGTCAACTAAATCACATTACATCAACTTTCCTTATTTCCTTTTGATATATTAATTTGAAAGTATATCAATGCAATGTATGGAGCAGTAATGATAGGGTTGGTGGCCATTTTGATTGATTTGAACCAAAGTAAAGAGAATAGTTAACTACCTTCAAAATCTATCACCAAGTATACCCTCCTAAACAGTATGTACAAGTTACCACTTGTTGCAAGACAGAATTAAAAGGTACAAAAACTAAAGTTTTAGAAAATAAAATTTATTCACCTGGTAAAAGCTCCTTAACATGGCAACCCCACATTGGAGCACAGATTTTGCAATAAAAGGATCACTTTATCACATTAGGATTACAAAGATCATTAGTGGAATTTTGCAATATGGCGGAATTTTTGAAAAACCCTTCAGACCACTGAGAAAAATCAGTATAACTTATTTAGTTTTTATAACTTCTTTAATAAGGTTTTAATTATTTTAGCACCAAAAAAGAATCAATAAATGTAAACATTCAGTCAGCAAAAGCCAACATGTCCAGACTAAAGTCAAACTGAATGGAACCCAGGCGAGCTTAATTAGTGGTGGGGAGGACGGGAGGGAGAAGAAATGGAGGTAAAGACCATGAGAGAAGAAGAATGGCAAATGGCAAACCTTCTCCTTAAATAGTACTACACTTTATAAGTGGAACTTTAAGACACTTGCCTAATTCACATTTGTTTCTCAGAGCAGCGGTTCACACACAGTCCTTATACCCCATTCACTTTTCTGGTTATACCTCTCAATATATACTGAGCAAGATGATGTGAATTCATATTTCAAGCTGTTAATGAACCAGGCCTTTTCTCACTATTCACTATCTGCTACAACACACTTATAAGAGATAGTGAAACTCAAACATAAAAGCCTTGAGTAGCACACTTGTTAAGGTTGGGTTGTATCTGTGGAACTTGCTTTTACAGAAATAAAGGATGATGAGAGAAAGCTATTGCTTTCAGAAGAGTAAGCATAACAGCATAGCTTTTCTTTCTTGAATCAAGACAGAAGAGATCTATAGATGGATAAACTAAACCCTTCTGTGTATGGGGAAGAGATCAAGAGCAAAAGAAAAAAATTACATATTTGAATATGCCATTAGATAAAATCAGTTAGGCATTAAACCAGGCATCACATGTCACTATCACATGTTTTACAGTGATGGCATACAGGATGTCAGCAGCTTGAAAACAGGATAATCATTTTCTGACAGTTCTAACTTCTAATCTTCCACTTCCCTCAGAGTGAATACTACACATTATTACCCGGGAGACTTAACTCCAGCTTTTATATTCATAAAAAAAAAAAAAAAAAGAAAGAAAAGAAGAAGATTGGGTCATCCTGTAAATCATATGTTTCCACTTTATATTTGAGCTGTGTTTCCTTTCAAGTGCCAGACCTACATTCCTCCTTCTACTTAAAAGTGATGTACTTGCTGCAAGTCACTTAGTTGCTTGAGTATCTCGTTCCAAATTAGCCTTCCTGTTTGGAGGCATTAGATTATATAATTTACACAAAAATATATATAAATATATATATAATTTTTTTTTTAAAATTAAGAGGAAAAAGTCAGTTTTTCTTCCCTGAGTGAAATAAAGTCTAGTTCTTGCAACTACTAGCAATGCAAGTTTTCATCCAGCAAGGCAGGTTGTGGACTGCTCAGAACTGCTCCGATGAAAGAGCAGTCTCAAGCTATACAGTAGAAGTTCACAAACTGCGAGCTGAAAGCAGAGTTTCTATACATTTTAATATTTAAACGGCAGATCTGTACAATTTGTAGAAATAAGACCACACATAATTTCTATGTTTTAAAAGAAAGTCAGTACAACCCTCAGTAAAGCAATAACTTTTAAAACGTAGTGATAATTCATATGTTCTGGGACACTTTGACCCAATAAACCCTTTAAAAAAAGTTGTCATCCTTGTGTCCCCGTGAAATATCTAATTAAAGAAAAGATACATACCAGTGTAGAGTTTTATCATGTCTGCTGTAAGGAATCGCTTTATTATCAGATACGCGGTGCCAGGCTCAGGGAGTGAACTCCAGTGAAGAACCTGTTCTAGCACGTTCTCGGTATAATGCAGAGGACGTTCTGAAAAATGCCCAGAAAAAAAGTTGAAATAAGAAAAACAAGATCTGAGGCCCTTGTAAGTTACACATTTCTCTAGGTAAACTTTGAGCAATAGAAGAAAAAATTGCTTTCCAAATAATACAATTAGGCACTTCACTGACTTTCTACAGCAACACCTTTGCTGGTAGGGTCTGCATAGGTTTTCCTTCCAGGTAACGCCGATTGAACATACAGTACTTAAATGTTCAGCACGTCTTTGGTATTTAATTATTAATAATTGCCTTCTCAGAAGATACTAGCACAGATTATATTGCCTGTTAATGATCAAAACAGGCTGAGTCAATCTCTTGGTTTCATTACGTTCCTTTCTACTGAAAGGGAGAAGAATGCACTCTTAGTAGGTCTTCTTCACATGGCTGTGGTTGGGGAATTTCCAGATTTGTACTTCTCTATTCCAAACTTAAGCAAAGAGTACAGCAAAATCAAAATTAAAATAAGTGAAGGCATGACAAGACCGTGCATGCACTTCACCTTGGTTGCTGAAATATACATTTGTCTAAGGGAGATAGGTATAATCCAGTCCTAACACACAGAAAACTTGAAACCCTTTCCCAGGTCTGAAGAATTGCAGATAATAAAGCCCAAATACTATGCGATACAAATTCCAGTTCATACCAAATGAAAGCTGGGAAGACCTCGCAAATGGTCCCTAAACCTGCCTTATCAGATCCAGCAGGTATCTAACCACGACAGACACTGTGACACACAACTTGGGCTATATTACCTGGGCAATATTAAGGAGGGCAGAGGGAAACTGTACAATACCCCTTTCTAACTACTTGTTCCTCCACATACACACCTGAAGGCTCTAGTCTGCTCAACAGTAAGCAGCTACTATACTCCAGAGATTCACAGAAAGCACAAAAACCTTAACAATGGCTGTGCATGCTTAGAGCAGTGAATCCAAGAGTCATTTTATCTCCAAAGCGAGATCTTTCCACAAGTTCTGAGTTTTCATTTGGATACCAACATATGTGGGTCAGGCCTTCAGAAGAGCTGGGTACAACTGCTGGAAAATCACACCAGTGTGACATTGTCATCTGGGTCAGGCGGTCTAGCCCAGTATCTCTTGGGCACTGAAGGGAAAAGTATAATATTATAATCTTATTTTTCACTTCTAGGGTAGGTGAATATGAAATACCAACATCTGCTTTGGGACTATTTTCAGCACTACACTCTAGTAGCACATCTTTCCTGAAAACCAGAGCTCCAGGAAAAAGCAACCACAACTGCTACTTTTACCTCCTTTACTTATAGCACACTGTTGAGTGACAGAAAAAAATACCTCTGTTTTGTGAGGCAAAAAAGCTACCTTAACTATAGACGCATTAAATCACTACCTATAGATGTGTTAAATCACTTATATAAAGATTTTATTATTCAGACATGATAAGAAAGCAGCCTAAGAGAAATACCATTCCTCAGATAGCAGCTCAATCGCTATTTTATAACTCAATTTTTCTGGTCCTTTTGATCTAAATGGTCCAACTTTCCCAAAAGTTGAAAAGAAATTTAAATACTATGGACTTTTAAATGTGATAAAGTTAAAATAACTTTTTGCCTTTGTACAGGAGAAAAATCCACTTTAAGGAGAAAAAAATTACAAAAGGCAGGCAGAAAAAGCTGGCAGATCATCACATCTTACCAGAACACCAGCACTCCCAGAGTAAACACCTACTGTTTTATTTATAGTTACATTTAAGACCATCTGTCATCATGGATTACATGGTACATAAATCATCATGCTGAAATGCATTAGTTATTTTACTGGCAACACACTTCATTTACAAACTATCCATCAAGTACAAATTACTAAAAAAAGGATACACCCTATTTTATAAAAGCATATGGTACTGGAAGTTCTGCATTAGGTTAGATAATTGTATCAATTATTTCAAGTTTTCTATATGCAAACAATTTAGCTGATTTTTAATACTGCAATTTCAGAATTTTTAACATCAAGCAGTCAACACATACATCCAATTACCTTTTTACTTAGGTCATCATCTATTTGCTGGTAAATATCCCAAACCAGCCCTTTTAGTCTTAAACAGCAATAACTGTCAGAAGAAAATTACTTTTTAGAAAATATAAGATTCTAATTTTCTTGACTTCTCAGGGTTAGTTTTCAGAGCAGCATATCCTGAAAACATTTGACGAGAGACTGAAGTAAAATAACTCTTAAAAAAAAATAATCCAGGACTGAGCATAACAAACCAAATATCACCAGGCACTGGACAGGTACCAGACCATGGCAGAGATACAAGCAGAAAATTTGTTTTTGTCAGGAAGACACAGCAGCCATCAACATGAAATTGAAGCAAATAAGTAACCTTTGTTGCTGTCACGAGTGTGTCAATCCCTCAATTTACTTGTAAGCACTTCAGATTAGGTAAAGTTAAATGGTGTTTATTAAACGATGGTAGTAAAACAACCTGTAGCAAAGAAGACTCAAGCTGTTTGACGGTTCTTTAGTCTCACATTTGGACCAATGACTATTTTACTTCATCTGTTATTTCCTCTATATTTCAACCTTGTGAAAAATCTGTTAAATTCAGCCATAGCACCAGAGGAGCCTTCCTGAATAACTGCTTCCTATTATTTGAATTATTTTCATTTTTGAACTTCTACTCAATCAATTCACCTGTTCTACAATAGGTCCAAAAATGGGTCCATTCTATCAACACAGCCTTTGCTCATTGGATCCACGTGCTAAATTAGGACTTGAATCTTGATTTAGTTAGCTCCATTTTTTTTTTTTTTTAAAAACACTGGTAGGCCATTTTCTATTTTGCACTGTAAATCTCTTTTTTCAGTGGGATACCCTGTAATCCCTCGACAATATTTACTGTCCTACACAGGGCCTGTAGAGTCTCACTCCAGGCTTAATTTTTCCAATCCTCCAAAGTCAGAAAAACTTTCTAGCTTGCACTAAGATACTAGCTGCTGTACCTAAATACCGAACCTGTCTTGAGCTGTCTTTTTCATCTATCTTTCTGTTCTCTCAGCAATATATAGTCCAGTTTTCAGTTTTCTGTTAGCGTTATGTATCAATTAAAAAAAAAAAAAACTCTCTTCAAATTTTTCTATTACTCAGTCGAAAGAAATAGGATTTCTAGAGTTCTTCTAAGATTTATCAGGACTCTCTGAAGATAAAAGATGCTAGCGTTCTTTGTCAGTTGACACCCACATCTACGAATCTGGAAATGAATTCTACCTTACAACTCTACACAGCATCACCACAAGATTGTAAGCTGCAAAAAGAGGTCAAGATCATTTAGTTTAACGTCAGAAGAGAGAATGCACTTCCATTGCTGTTGATACTTCCAAGTTCAAGCTGAGTATATTAAGAGTGTCAGTAAACCTCAGGAGATTATTGTAACTACATCTAAAGTCAAGTTGAACAGAACTACTCAGACAATCTTGGAACATTTGGTTGACTTAGTTTTCTCTATTTCTTTCAGATTGTTTTGCAAATATGAAAACAGGTATATCCACTACAGAAGTAAGTTAGCCCAAAGTCCACTTTTGTAACATGCAAATAATATTAAAAGCAACTCACTTAAAAGTGCTTACTTTTTATATACTAAAAGCATGTTTCTGTTCCCAAGTTTTCTTCAAAAAATGAGATGACATCAATGAGCATTCATTAAAATACAATTTTAATAAAAAAATTATATTATTTTGATTCTCTCTAATAGTAAAGTGTGAGCTCCAGCATTACCACAGCACTCCCAATGTTAAAGTATGTTTACAGTTCATGAATATTGTGACCTTTGCCACTGTTAGCACTAGAACTATACTTAAAACAAATGTTTCAAGATTATGCTATATACACCTTAATGCCACCTGTAAAACAGAAGGTTGCAGAAATTTATACTCTTTTTTATCTATACACTTAAAGTAAATTGATTGAAAAGAATCTTTACTCTGAGTATTGCCTGTATTTTCGTGCTTCATTTTCTGAAAGATATTATTTCTTAGAAATCAACTGCTGACCTAATGAAAATAAGTTTCTTTGAAATTTATTGGCAAGATCTACTTTTCTGCAGCTGATGGCTTATGAACTGTGAACCAGAGTATCATAAAGATTGTTCTTCAACCACAAATGTATGAGCATTTTAAACCAATTCCTCAAATTATTTCTGAAGAACAAAATGTAGAAAGGAATTACGCACGTGTCGCAGTACCCAAATAGAAAACAATGGAATGAAAGCTATTTGTTGTTTTGTTTCTATAAAGTTTTAGTAACTTTTCAGCTAACATTTTAGCTATGTTAAATACTTAAAAATAAAAACTAATGATAATTTAATGAATACACATACATGTAAGTGCCACTAACCTAGTTCTCCATTTTCAAGTACTTCAAAAGCAGCCCAGAGATCATCTTTGTTGGGAGTGATGTTTTTGATTCCTAAAACATCATTAGTTAATTCTTCTGCTTCCATCAAAGGTGATATCTGTAATAAAAATTGAGTCATTTTATAATGTACTACAATTTCTAATCCTTGATTTTTGTACAAAATACAAACATAAAAACACAAGTATTTGCGTCATATGCTGAACAGATCAAAAAGAAATCAGAAACAGCTATAACAAGAAAAAAAAGTATTGTCCTAAGTTTGCTACTTCCTTAACTACATCTGTCCTTTGTCATTACAGAAATTTAAATTTTTTCTTAACATCCAAACAACAGAGCAGTCCTGCATGGAGACCAGAGCCTTTCAAATATGCTATCAGATGCAAGGCTGGAAATCTCAATTACAGCCAGTACTAAGCTTAGGTTTCTCAGCACTCAAGCAAGGCAGATTGCCGCTGGCAAAAAGCGAGAACAGGAAGGTCATTTAAATGTCCTTGTACTACTGACTAAAGCCAGTATTCACTGCGTACTTGTTATCGTTCTTGTGTGCTGCAGCCATTGAGCTGTAAGAAATTATATCACGGTATACTGCAGTAAAACTAAAGGAAGTCTTCCCTTTAAAATTATATCATAGCCTTCTGCTTAGAAATGCATAATAAACACTCCTTACAAAATTTAGGTAAGCCAGTAAATAAAAAAAAAAAAATTTTAAGACAGTGAAACATACTTTCATTATGCAATTATAAAAACATGTAGGAAAATAAATCTGGTACAGTTCATGAGAAAGTGTTTAGTAGAAACACTGTATCATTTTTATACACTAACCCTGATTATAATACTGCAGTCTGGCTCTTTCCTTTCCACGTAAACTTCAATAAGCAAATCTCCTGCCTGGGAAACCTAAAACAAAACACATAATTTACAAAAATTATGTCTTAAAAATACTTCAAATATACTCTCAAATTGGGAAAAGGAAATGATTATTTAATAGATGTGCTACAACCTATTGCATATTTTTCATATCCTAAATCTACAAAAAATACCCCAAGCATTGACTTTACAGGGAAAACCTGAACTACATTAACTCCCAGTTGACTAGTGAAAGGAAAGAAATCCTGTTCTAATTGATTCAGGCAAAAATCTGAACTCTGACTAAAATCGATCGAAACGTTTCAAGTAAAATTAACACATTTTGCAAATAGTTCTCCTATTCTTGAATGTATAAGGGAGACATGTCAAAAACGGAAATCAATATACACATGACTAAAAGTCTATCTAAGAGAAAAAAGTATTTCAGCATTTTAAACTGTCAAAACATGAACTCTAGGCTCCAAGTTAGAGTTTAGTCAGGCTCATTGCATAGCCAAAACAGAGATATACAGTTTAAAGCCAAGATGCAAAAGGACAGGACAAGAACTCCAAACTAAAAAGAGTTTGTTAAAAATGACAGGAAAAATTATAAATTCATATTCCAGTATTTCAGACAATGAGCCATTTTATGGAACTTGTACATATTCAGATAATTAACACTACGAAGATTATGGTATTTATGATTATTAATTACTGTGAAAAATTGTCATCACATATTAAAAAGAAGAAGCAGAAGATTATCTGCTTTTGATAGAGACCTCTGCTGAAGATAAGTCTTCAAATTTGTTTGACTAGTTTGTCTAAACTTTCATGTAAAATGCTAACATGCAGAATAATTAGATGAAAAAACAAATGTATTACCTAACATATGTATGTATTACCTAACATATAAATGTTTACTTAGTATACTCAATAGCAATAAACATAATTTAAGAATGTCTAATAATATTTTAATTCCTTACAAAGGAATTGGAAAGTCAGTGAAACCAAGATTTCATGATCAAGGAGAAAAATTTAAGAATCAATAGGGAGAATTCAGTATTTTCCACAGTTAGCAGTTTTGTAATTTACAACAATAAAATTACCTTCTTAGATGAGAAATCAACTTTACTTTTCTATAGATAAAAATGTCCAGTGTTTATATATAAAGACCTCACAGTTCCCTTATGAAGTAGCCATAAGCATCTCCAAAAGATTGTAATTTGTCCAAATAACAAAACCAAATACCTGAATATGATGATACTAAGAGCATGGGAAGAAAAAACAAGACAGGAAGCTGGACCTTCCAGTAGATGTATCTTTTTATTAGTAAGTCAATATAAATAGTTACTACCCAAACTAACTTTAAGCATAACAATTTGTGTCTTAATTTTGAGAACAGCATTCACAGCAATGCTATACTACACATTTATTCATGTATTATTAAAATTCAGAAGAAGAAGATGAGAAAAGCAAAACCAACTACATATATACAGAATAAGATATGGAGAAAATAGTAAAAAAAAAAAAAAAAAGGCAAGCTTTGCAATACATTTTAACTAATTTACAGAAGTAAAAACTACATTTATATGGAAAACTAAATAGCAGCACTCAATTTTAAAGAACATAACATTATGGAAAACGGTGACTTGAAAGTTTGTTTAGCCTCTGAGAATAGAAAACTAATGGCAACATTTGTGAGGAAAAACATTACAAAGCTACTTTGAAGAAAGCTTCTTAATTATAGTGGCACAGAGTCAAAAAAGCTCATTTAGTTGTAAAATTTGCTTTTTGGATGATATTACAGAAAAAGGTTGGAAAAAAAAAAAGAATGAAGCTGACATTTGATTTCCACTGGGCTCATTTAAACAGCCGTATGAAGAGAAAATGTGCTGTAAATTACAGCAGCAAACAGCAACAGCTGGCATAAGTATATGGTGGACAGAAAATGAAGAGCAGCTAATGAAGTGCCACCTGGAACGGAACTTCAGTGACATTTCAGACATGAGAACTTACAGGGTTTCAACAGAAATTTGGTCCAGCTGTTCTCTGAACACCCTCCACGTCTTCAGCCTGCAGATAATTCTACTTTAGCAACCTATATATTCTAAATGCGTTAAGTATCTGCATCACTAGTTCTTCCACCAACATGCCTACATTTTGCTATAACATCAGACTATCACATGTTAAATGAGGAGGATTCTTCGATAGAATTGTCAGTTATAGCTGCTTGAGGCCTAAGTTGCCAATGATCCACACTGTTAAAACACCTGGTATGCACTATGTAATCAGCTGGAAGCCCATCCAGAAAAATTTCCAAAGAGCTAGCTCTCTGGCACGACACTGAAGTCCAATCTCTATGCAGAGAAAGCATCTTGCAAACTGCTCACAGGCTAAATGATGAGAGCTAATGAAGGGGAGGAAGTAAGCAAATGAGAAGAATATGAGCATACCCATTTATTTCCCTGAAATAATGAAAGATGTTATCTTAAAGCAACACTGTTCCAATGAACCACTGACTGTATTCCAGAAATTTTTACCTTATTTGAGGGTCTATACTGGGAAATACAGATCATGGTAATTGGCTGGGGTCTGGCTATTCTTTGTTAGTGTTGATGAGAATGTGACAAGTACCAAATACTAAGTTGAACTTAACAACAGTGTAACGGTTAAAAGAAGCTTACATTGCCTAGCCTGGTAAAATATGAAATGCAGACATGCATATAATCTAGTGTTCTGAAATTATGGGTAACAGGCACTTTGTACTTGTTACAGAAGTTATAAACGCATAAAAATAACAAATAGGAAGTTCAAGTTTTACAAAAACACGTAGTGTTAGTCCAGGTCTGGCCCTTGCGTATTCCACAAAAGCCACTGACAACAAAGGGCATAGTTAAGACAATGCTGAACTCTTCTGCAGAAGAGATTATATATAAAAGCTCAGAACATCTTCATAACCAGCCTTCTGAATCACGGGGCTTCAGGCAGTTAATGCTTTGAAATGAAAGTAACTGAAATAGTCTTTGATAAGAATTACACCCTTCTCCACTGAACTGGTCCCAGGCATTAGACACACATGCATTTTACATGCTACACATGTTTCAATACATTTCAGAAAAACGCATCTTCAAATCCTCTAGTTATATTAAACATGTCTGCTAGAGAAAAAATAGCTTCTACAGCAACAGGCATAAAACGTTCCACGGCTTAATTCAAAGGGGAAAAATGTTCACAGCAGCAGTCAAATTGCCACAAATGGCAACCAGGCTCCGGAAAACAGTATCAGAGGGATGGAGTCCAAATTCGGATAACAGGCTGGTAAAGCAAAGAGAATGCGATTCCTATCCCAACAGGCAGTTCAAACTTTAATTTATAACCATGAAAAGGTTGAAATTTTGTTCCAGTACTTGTTTAGAAAGTTAAAAGGAAAAAAGCTGTCATCTCTGGGGCAAGTGCTTCCAAACAACCAAGGTCACCTGAGCTGAATCTCATTAGGTTGAGCTCTGGACGCTCTTTTTCCAGGTAATGTCATACAGATTAAAGATATCAACGTTTTGATAAAATTCAAAATAATTTTGTATCTCAAACTCAACCTTTCATGAAGTCTTCAGATATAATACTGATAGAGATTAATTAATAAAATCCAGCACCTCAATTAATATTTTCCTCAAAACAGATTGTGAAAACGCGTATTGAGAATAATTTATGTTTTTCAACTAGGACTCTGGAATCACTTCAGCTACTTAATATTAAATTCCACAAGCTTGCTCTAGAAACTTCGGATTACTTATTCCCTTCATAGAAGACTATCAACCACAGCTTTAAATTAGGATCATTGTCCTTCTGAGAAACAGTCTGAGAAGTAGCTTATCCTGTATACTACTTTCTATTTTATGCCATTCAGGTCTAGCTTAAACTATAAAACAATGTACAGAATTTATAGTGCAAATCCATTTTCCATCCACAATCCATCCATCGACACCCCTGCTCAAGCAGGGTACGTTATTCCAGATGATCATAAAGATGTAGAAGAAGAGCGGGGCAATCCGAAGAAATAATATGTTCCGCTGCATCTAATAAGGCTGTACCACTTTACCACAGACATTCAAGAGAAGGAAAAACCCCTTGTTCAGGGCTTACCTTGCTCAAGGAAATATTTAGCCTCTTCATCCCTCATCTGCATTTTAAAATAGAATAAAATTCCCAGGTTCTCTTTTAGAGAGCACCTTATTTTAAGATGATGGTTTTGGTCTGTGAAGCAGTATCTGACACATGCAGTTAAGCATCTAAGAAAGGCAGAATCTAAGAGGTTCCTTCCTTCAGCATTCCAGGTACTGGCTAGGTTAGAAGGCTTCCCATGTGGCATGCTGACTGTTCAGACTTCCAATCTCCCTATCCATTTAACAGACAATTTAAATGCTTAATCTGGGACAAAATAGCTTACCTGGGATCGAAAAAAAGCCTTGCACTAAAGGCCTAAAATTGAAGTGCTGTGTCTTGCACGACACAATGCTCAAGTTCAGGTCACCATGAAGAGAACTGTATGGGCCAGCAAAGAATAGGGGAAAGACTCTGGTCAGGCCTCTGCCCTGGTAGCTGGGGCATGAGGACCACACAGCCAGCCGGGGACGGCTTCTGCCCTGCAGTTAAGATTAGTCTTTGTACGTCTAAGACCCTTGGGCTTTCCAAACAGACTCTTTGTGGTATACAAATGCCAGACCTCTTGCCCAAAAAGCAAAGCTGAGACAGAAATCGTAGCTGCGGTGGAATATAACTTATATTCAAAATTCTCTGAGACAGCACTTAATGAAGACAACAAACATTTACTGAGAACTGAGGCAATAATATGATTCAGTGACTACTTAATGGCAGCAACATGTCATATCTAGCAGCCTCAGTGGACTGACTCCATAGTCCGGCTGAGACTCTACCGTACATCAGATTTAAGTATTTAGCACTTAGGTCCTTTGGAGAAATTTTTTTTCCCATGGGATGACGAAAGAAAAATAAATTCTTAAATTTATATGTCTAAATACCTTTCTTAGTACCTTTCTTTCCAGCTGTTTCCCTCCCTGCAAATTAAAATAAGATGTGCCATTTTCTTCAATTTTGTATGATTCTATTTGTAAAAGCATTCTCTCTGAAACTAACCGCTGTCAATTCTAGCAATGTGTTTTTAAGAACATAAAGGAAGATAACTAATTTGACAGTTGCATACAACAAAATAAGAATCTCTTATTGCTGCCTCCTAAATTTTGTACTAGAAGACACTGCAAATCACCCTTACTAGTTGCAAGGTAAGAGATACCGTTTGAATAGGATTTTGTTTCATTGTGTGATACTAATACTTTTTTTTTTTTAATGATTTAAGGCTTAGCAATGTGTATGATGAGAACCAAGCCAGAGCCTATTAACAGCGTAGGTGTAACCCGCAATTCAGAAAGCTGATTATTAATGGCAGAAAATCCACTGAGAGCCAAATTAGGAGAGCTAAAATTATGGTTCAATCTTTTTACAACTCCACCTCCTAACAGTTTGTAGAGTTCCAGAGAAACAAGCCCAAGCAGACTCAATTATTCATGAAAGTTCAAATTTGATTATCTAGTTTAAAAGTGGGAGGACTAGCTTTGTCAGGTGCTGTAAGCTTTTTAATCAAAACAAAAAAAACAAAAAAAACCACACACAACCAATTTCAGAAAGCCTAGACTTTTTAAAAGAAAAGAAAACTTTCCTCAATAGACAGCCTTCCAAATACAACACAGCACCCAAAGGGGATTTCACAGTGGTATCTATGATGGAAAAAAATATAGAACAAAACCACTTCTTCATATTCGTCACAGCTTCAGTTTTAGATGAATCCACCTAACCAGCAGTTGCTACTACATAATTCAATCTATCACAAAGAAGTAAGACTCAAAACAGCAACGCACAGAATATGCAAGTTTATGTGTATTTGCAAAAATCCTTACTTTAGTGATGTTTTACAAGGTACCACAAAATGTTGCTGGAAAGGAGGAAGAGAGTCATCAGAGAAAGCATCACAGCTTTGTTTCTGCTAGTTTTCTATTCTAGTTTCTAAAGCTCTATAAGTTCCAAAATTCCTGAAAGCTTCTCCTGGACTGCTTCAGATTTCTGAAAGAGCTTGTAAGCTCCCTACGCTTCCCTTTACTTCTTTTAATTCATATACGTTGGCCATGTTATTAAACTTACCAGTTTTTGCTTTAATTAGAGCTGCACACAAAGACTACTCAGATAGTGAAATATCCTTTCACTTTTGTGGGTTTTTTTTTTTTTTTTTTTTTTTACCATTTCTGAAGTTATTCAAAAGCTCTTACAAGCGAGACTGGAATTCAAGACGATAATAAACGTCATAAGATCTCCTGCTTTCTTTTATTTTATCCTAAAGTTCAGTCTGACTGAAGTAACCATGTATGTATCTGGTGGTTTCCCAAACAACATTTGTAGTTCAGGGTTTAATATTTAGTCCCAAAACCAAGACCCAGCAAAAGATTCAGACACTTTAGAGAATAACCATCCCTGTGAGCCTAATAAACAGAGGCCACATGTACCCAAAGCTCTTGAAATAATAGAAATATTAACATATACTTAAAGATTTTAACACGCATGTTTAAAAATCAAAAAGAGAGGTCGTCGCTTTCACATTTAATGTTGACCATTCCTTTCTACTACAGTTTATGAAGCGTAGTAAAAACGTGAGCATGATGTACCAATCGGTAAGTTATCCCAGTGCGCAGGCCAGAACATAATTCCACAGTATAATTTACACAGAGCTGCTTTGCTTTATTAGCTTATGCTTCCTCTTTTCTTTTTTCCCCTCTTAGCCACTGTATTTAACAATGCAAGCCACTATACAAATTTAGAAATTTACGTTTAGAAGTCTAGGTATAGAAACCTACATTTGTTAAAATCTTTTTATACTTGATGATTTTTGCCACTTACCTGAGTGTCTTTCCACCTGGTAATAAAGCTGTTCTCAATATCCATTTGTTTGACCTGGTCTTCATTAATCTGTGCAAAATTGATCATCTTTGTAAGTTACAGGAAAACTAATTAAAAATCTATAAACATAAAATAAGCTAATACAAATACTGCTATAACATAATATAGTAACATAAATACTAATATAATATAAAAAAACAGAGGAATGCCTACGATATTAACCCCATCTTGCAGGAGCAGTTATGCAAAATATTCTGTCAGTCAGAAAAATCATTTCTTTGACAGGGTAAAAGAGAGGGGAATCCACCATAACTCCCAAACAGAATATTACAATAGAACAGTAAACTTCAAATTGAAAGGGCTGCAATATATTTGTGCTAGTGGTAAATTCTCAGTTTGGTTGAATTCAAAGTTTTTTCCAGACCCTGTCAATCAAATCTTTTTTCTCTATCTGTTACTAGAGATCAGAGACTAAGACAACAATCATCATCTTGAAGTTTCCTTAGAAGGTGGTATGCTAGTGTCAGCAAGAAGAGTTGCGGGCACTCTTTTGGAAAACAGTGATTCACAACAATCCTCTAAGTATAGCTTTTCCTAACTCAGGCTAAACTATTCAGAAATTAACATTTAAATTAGACAAATAAAGAACAAAGACCATCGAATAAGAAAGTTAACAGCCTTGCAAATCAGTGTAACCTACATCAAATAAAATCTGTTTGTGAAAGAATCATCTTTAACTGTAAGAAGATTTCTATATTTTATCACCTCTATCAGGAGAGCAATTAGGATGCTATTTTACATAAAGATACCTACATCAAAAAGTTGTACATAATTTTTAATTAGATCTTCAATTACATTGACTTCTTCACTAGTCTGGCCTTTAGTCTGAAATAAGCATGAGGAAAACGCCATGGCTAGATTGTGAGGGTTCATATGATTGATTTCAGAACATTTCTGCACCCTGTTGAAGGAAAAATAAATCTATTTAGAAGGCTCCGTTGTTCCTTCTGCTTCTCTACAGAATATGGAGTGCATGCCAAAAAAGAATAACTACATTAAATGAAATGACCAACCAAGTATTACTTACTGTTATGTATACCTGATCTCCCATCTCATTATAGAAATGGAAACATATACTTTCTACCTGCACCTCAAGTGATACCAAAATTATTTGCTACATTATATAACTATATCCTGAAAGCCGATGATCTAAGATCACACAAAACATGGAAAAAAAGTGGAGTCATTTTTTGTTTCTATTCTTATCATAAAGTTTTCATATCAGTTCTATTGTTTACGTAATATGTCTTCTTCAGGAAGCAAACACTTTAAATATCACAGAATTTTGGCTGTTACAGGAATACAAACTACTTTCAGAACAGGTATAAGAGCACGTAAGTATCTCAACTGGATATGCTTAGAAACATTAATTGCAATACTTACTGTAATCATTACCCCAAGAATAGCAGTAATCATTTTAATATTTGCATAAATAGTTTTTAAAGGACATCTGCTTTTTAGCAGCTTTATTTCTAAACATAGTATCCTGTAAGATACAGTCCTACACATTCTCTGCTCCCTACTTTACCACGAACACAGTAACTTGACTTGTTCAATGGACACTAATATCATATAATAACGGCCATTACTATTTAGCCATGATTCTGCAGAATCATTGAAGTC